GTCACAAATGCCGGTGTCGACTCTTTGCTGATAACAGTTGTACCAGTTGTCTCTAACTCCTCTATCTGTTTTGTGGTTAGTAACACCTCATGAGGCGTTGTCTCTGACGGAGCAGCAGTAGTCACAAATGCCGGTGTCGACTCTTTGCTGATAACAGTTGTACCAGTTGTCTCTAACTCCTCTATCTGTTTTGTGGTTAGTAACACCTCATGAGGCGTTGTCTCTGACGGAGCAGCAGTAGTCACAAATGCCGGTGTCGACTCTTTGCTGATAATAGTTGTACCAGTTGTCTCTAACTCCTCTATCTGTTTCGTCGTTAGTAACACCTCATGAGGCGTTGTCTCTGACGGAGCAGCAGTAGTCACAAATGCCGGTGTCGACTCTTTGCTGATAATAGTTGTACCAGTTGTCTCTAACTCCTCTATCTGTTTCGTCGTTAGTAACACCTCATGAGGCGTTGTCTCTGACGGAGCAGCAGTAGTCACAAATGCCGGTGTCGACTCTTTGCTGATAACAGTTGTACCAGTTGTCTCTAACTCCTCTATCTGTTTTGTGGTTAGTAACACCTCATGAGGCGTTGTCTCTGACGGAGCAGCAGTAGTCACAAATGCCGGTGTCGACTCTTTGCTGATAACAGTTGTACCAGTTGTCTCTAACTCCTCTATCTGTTTTGTGGTTAGTAACACCTCATGAGGCGTTGTCTCTGACGGAGCAGCAGTAGTCACAAATGCCGGTGTCGACTCTTTGCTGATAATAGTTGTACCAGTTGTCTCTAACTCCTCTATCTGTTTCGTCGTTAGTAACACCTCATGAGGCGTTGTCTCTGACGGAGCAGCAGTAGTCACAAATGCCGGTGTCGACTCTTTGCTGATAATAGTTGTACCAGTTGTCTCTAACTCCTCTATCTGTTTCGTCGTTAGTAACACCTCATGAGGCGTTGTCTCTGACGGAGCAGCAGTAGTCACAAATGCCGGTGTCGACTCTTTGCTGATAATAGTTGTACCAGTTGTCTCTAACTCCTCTATCTGTTTCGTCGTTAGTAACACCTCATGAGGCGTTGTCTCTGACGGAGCAGCAGTAGTCACAAATGCCGGTGTCGACTCTTTGCTGATAATAGTTGTACCAGTTGTCTCTAACTCCTCTATCTGATTCGTCGTTAGTAACACCTCATGTGGCGTTGTCTCTGATGGAGCACCAGTAGTCACAAATGCTGGTGTCGACTCTTTGCTAATAACAGTTGTACCAGTTGTCTCTAACTCCTCTATCTGTTTTGTGGTTAGTAACACCTCATGAGACGTTGTCTCTGACGGAGCAGCAGTAGTCACAAATGTCGGTGTCGACTCTTTGCTGATAACAGTTGTACCAGTTGTCTCTAACTCGTCTATCTGTTTTGTGGTTAGTAGCACCTCATGAGACGTTGTCTCTGACGGAGCAGCAGTAGTCACAAATGCCCGTGTCGACTCTTTGCTGGTAATAGTTGTACCAGTTGTCTCTACCTCCTCTCTCTGTTTTGTGGTTAGTAACACCTCATGAGACGTTGTCTCTGACGGAACAGCAGTAGTCACAAATGCCGGTGTCGACTCTTTGCTGATAACAGTTGTACCAGTTGTCTCTAACTCCTCTATCTGTTTGGTCGTTAGTAACACCTCATGAGGCGTTGTCTCTGACGGAGCAGCAGTAGCCACAAACGCCGGTGTCGACTCTTTGCTGATAATAGTTGTACCAGTTGTCTCTAACTCCTCTATCTGCTTCGTCGTTAGTAACACCTCATGAGGCGTTGTCTCTGATGGAGCAGCAGTAGTCACAAATGCCGGTGTCGACTCTTTGCTGATAACAGTTGTACCAGTTGTCTCTAACTCCTCTATCTGTTTGGTCGTTAGTAACACCTCATGAGGCGTTGTCTCTGACGGAGCAGCAGTAGCCACAAACGCCGGTGTCGACTCTTTGCTGATAATAGTTGTACCAGTTGTCTCTAACTCCTCTATCTGTTTCGTCGTTAGTAACACCTCATGAGACGTTGTCTCTGACGGAGCAGCAGTAGTCACAAATGCCGGTGTCGACTCTTTGCTGATAACAGTTGTACCAGTTGTCTCTAACTCCTCTATCTGTTTGGTCGTTAGTAACACCTCATGAGGCGTTGTCTCTGACGGAGCAGCAGTAGCCACAAATGCCGGTGTCGACTCTTTGCTGATAATAGTTGTACCAGTTGTCTCTAACTCCTCTATCTGCTTCGTCGTTAGTAACACCTCATGAGGCGTTGTCTCTGATGGAGCAGCAGTAGTCACAAATGTCGGTGTCGACTCTTTGCTGATAACAGTTGTACCAGTTGTCTCTAACTCCTCTATCTGTTTTGTGGTTAGTAGCACCTCATGAGACGTTGTCTCTGACGGAGCAGCAGTAGTCACAAATGCCCGTGTCGACTCTTTGCTGGTAATAGTTGTACCAGTTGTCCCTTCCTCCTCTCTCTGTTTTGTGGTTAGTAACACCTCATGAGACGTTGTCTCTGACGGAGCAGCAGTAGTCACAAATGCCGGTGTCGACTCTTTGCTGATAATAGTTGTACCAGTTGTCTCTAACTCCTCTATCTGCTTCGTCGTTAGTAACACCTCATGAGGCGTTGTCTCTGACGGAGCAGCAGTAGCCACAAATGCCAGTGTCGACTCTTTGCTGATAATAGTTGTACCAGTTGTCTCTAACTCCTCTATCTGCTTCGTCGTTAGTAACACCTCATGAGGCGTTGTCTCTGATGGAGCAGCAGTAGTCACAAATGCCGGTGTCGACTCTTTGCTGATAACAGTTGTACCAGTTGTCTCTAACTCCTCTATCTGCTTCGTCGTTAGTAACACCTCATGAGGCGTTGTCTCTGACGGAGCAGCAGTAGTCACAAATGCCGGTGTCGACTCTTTGCTGATAACAGTTGTACCAGTTGTCTCTAACTCCTCTATCTGTTTGGTCGTTAGTAACACCTCATGAGGCGGTGTCTCTGACGGAGCAGCAGTAGCCACAAATGCCGGTGTCGACTCTTTGCTGATAATAGTTGTACCAGTTCTCTCTAACTCCTCTATCTGCTTCGTCGTTAGTAACACCTCATGAGGCGTTGTCTCTGACGGAGCAGCAGTAGTCACAAATGGCGGTGTCGACTCTTTGCTGATAACAGTTGTACCAGTTGTCTCTAACTCCTCTATCTGTTTGGTCGTTAGTAACACCTCATGAGGCGTTGTCTCTGACGGAGCAGCAGTAGTCACAAATGCCGGTGTCGACTCTTTGCTGATAACAGTTGTACCAGTTGTCTCTAACTCCTCTATCTGTTTGGTCGTTAGTAACACCTCATGAGGCGTTGTCTCTGACGGAGCAGCAGTAGTCACAAATGGCGGTGTCGACTCTTTGCTGATAACAGTTGTACCAGTTGTCTCTAACTCCTCTATCTGTTTGGTCGTTAGTAACACCTCATGAGGCGTTGTCTCTGACGGAGCAGCAGTAGTCACAAATGCCGGTGTCGACTCTTTGCTGATAACAGTTGTACCAGTTGTCTCTAACTCCTCTATCTGCTTAGTCGTTAGTAACACCTCATGAGGCGTTCTCTCTGATGAAGCAGCAGTAGTCACAAATGCAGGTGTCGACTCTTTGCGGATAACAGTTGTAGCAGTTTTCTCTAACTCCTCTATCTGTTTTGTGGTTAGCAACACCTCATGAGGCGTTGTCTCTGACGGAGCAGCAGTAGTCACAAATGGCGGTGTCGACTCTTTGCTGATAACAGTTGTACCAGTTGTCTCTAACTCCTCTATCTGTTTGGTCGTTAGTAACACCTCATGAGGCGTTGTCTCTGACGGAGCAGCAGTAGTCACAAATGCCGGTGTCGACTCTTTGCTGATAACAGTTGTACCAGTTGTCTCTAACTCCTCTATCTGTTTGGTCGTTAGTAACACCTCATGAGGCGTTGTCTCTGACGGAGCAGCAGTAGTCACAAATGGCGGTGTCGACTCTTTGCTGATAACAGTTGTACCAGTTGTCTCTAACTCCTCTATCTGTTTGGTCGTTAGTAACACCTCATGAGGCGTTGTCTCTGACGGAGCAGCAGTAGTCACAAATGCCGGTGTCGACTCTTTGCTGATAACAGTTGTACCAGTTGTCTCTAACTCCTCTATCTGCTTAGTCGTTAGTAACACCTCATGAGGCGTTCTCTCTGATGAAGCAGCAGTAGTCACAAATGCAGGTGTCGACTCTTTGCGGATAACAGTTGTAGCAGTTTTCTCTAACTCCTCTATCTGTTTTGTGGTTAGCAACACCTCATAAGGCGATGTCTCTGACGGAGCAGCAGTAGTCACAAATGCCAGTGTAGACTCTTTGCTGATAACAGTTGTAGCAGTTGTTTCTTCTTTTCCAGTAGTCATACCTGCTGTTTCTAACCCCTCTGTCGTTAACTTTGCTCCATATTGAGTGGTTTTCTCGCTAGTAGCAGCAGAAATCGATGCTGCACCAGTGAAAACATGAGACTCCGTTGCAACAGACATATTTATTTGGGGATAACCTAAGGTTGTAATTAATTCTTCTCCATGCATTGGCGTGACAGTAACAAATGGTTCTATAGTTGTCATAACAGGATACACTAACGTCTTACCCTCAGAAGTCGGAGCTAGCGAAATAGTTGTTCTTACTGGTTTTAGGGTTACCGGGATATGCGTTGATGTTTCACCTATAACCGTTGTAGTAGAAGGAGCAGTTGTTTCTAGCTTCTCATTTTGCGTCGTTGTTGACAACACTTCATATGGAGTCGTTTTCGATGGTGCAGCAGTAGTCATAAAGGTTGGTGTCGATTCTTGGGTGATAACTGTGGGAGCAGCTGTTTCTAGTTCCCCTACTTGTTTTGTTGATAATAAGATCTCGTGAGGAGTTGTTTCCGGTAGTGCAGAAGTAGTTATAGAGAATGAGGTGGATTCTCTGCTAATGACAGTAGTACCAGTTGTTGCTAGTTCCTCTACTTGTTTTGTTGTTAACAAGACCTCATGAGGAGTTGTTTCTGGTGGTGCAGGAGTAGTTATAAAAGTTGATGTGGATCCTTTGCTAATGACAGTGGTACCAGTTGTTTCTAGTTCCTCTAGTTGTTTTGTTGTTAACAAGACCTCACGAGGTGTTGTTTCCAATGGTGCAGAAGTAGTAACAAAGGCGAGCGTAGATTCTTTGCTAATGACAGTGGTACCAGTAGTTTCTGGTTCCTCCAACTGCTTCGTGGTCAACAGCACCTCATGAGGAGTTGTCCCTGATGGGGCAGCAATTGTTGGAAAGGCCGGTGTCGATTCTTTGCTAATGACAGTGGTGCCAGTTGTTTCTAGTCCCTCTAGTTGTCTTGTTGTTAACAATGCCTCATGAGGAGTTGTTTCTAATGTTGCAGAAGTAGCCACAAAGGCAGGCGTAGATTCTTTGCTAATGAAAGTGGTACCAGTTGTTTCGAGTCCCTCTACTTGTTTTGTTGTTAACAAGTCCGCTTGAGGACTTGTTTCTGGTGGTGTAGAAGTAGTCATAAAAGTTGGTGTCGATTCTTTGCTAACGACAGTGGTACCAGTTGTTTCTAGCTCTTCTGATAGCTTCGTGGTTAACAGCACCTCACGAAGAGTTGTCTCTGCTGGAGTAGCAATTGTTGCGATGGCAGGTGTTGATTCTTTGCTAATGACAGTCATGCCAGTTGTTTCAAGTTCCTCTCCTTGTTTTGTTGTCAACAAGACCTCATGAAGAGTTGTTTCTGGAGGTGCAGAAGTAGTCGTAAAAGTTGATGTAGATTCTTTGCTAATGACAGTGGTACCAGTTGTTTCTAGTTCCTCTACTTGCTTTGTTGTTAACAAGATCTCATGAGGAGTTGTTTCCAATGGTGAAGAGGTAGTGACAAAGGCAAGCGTAGATTCCTTGCTAATTGCAGTGGTACCAGCTGTTTCCAGTTCCTCCAATTGCTTCGTGGTCAATAGCACCTCATGAGGAGTCCCTGATGGAACAGCAGTTGTTGCTAAGGCCGGTGTCGATTCCTTGCTAATGACAGTGGTACCATGAGGAGCTGTTTCTGAGGGTACAGAGGTAGTTGGGTAAGCTGATGTTGATTCTTTGGTAATGACAGTCGTTGGTAACTCTTGTTCCATTGAAGTAGTACCTGATTCCGTCGCTACAGAAATGTTTTGATTTGGTGCAGCCAAGGTGGTCACCTCTCCTTCAACATATTTTGGTGTAATTGTAACAAATGTTTCTTGAGTAGTCGTTTCGGGAAAAACCAACATTTTTCCTTCTATGGTTGTCATTCCTTCAATCTCCCTTGTGGTCAGTTCCACTGTTGTTAGTTCAGTTCCAGGTTTATTAAATGTTAGAGTGGTAGCAGGGATAGCGGTTGTTATTTGTGTTTGTGTTTCTGTTAGTGTTTCGGGTGTGGTAACCATCTCTGTTATTCCGTAAAACAAAATTAGTATGAGTATTTCACAGTATCATCGTTTCTGATGACGATGGAATGGTGGTGATGTGTGTTAGAGTGAGTGTGATGTTAGCCAAAACCGATGTAGCTGATCCTACCTTATTTACAAATATTTACAACTTATCTTGAATATGTACAATAAATATTGTCTTGAGATATCATGAAGATACTGTATGCCCAGCTGTGTACTATAATTACATTATGTTCGGTTTCATAGTTTATATGAAGATATTTGTTGATTGAGAATGACTCCAATAAATAATTCGAAATATAAGATACTGGGTTTCATCATACCTTCATGATTTCTCATTGAATATGGTGCATCATTAAGAGAACTCTGAAAGATGTGATGAAGATTGAGGTGTTGCTATTTTGATTTTAGTATATATTCTACATGTCGAGCTTTACAATTTCTCAGGAAAGATTTTAAACTTTTACAAGATCTCAGATAGTTAAAAGATTTTTTTACACGGAAGTTCAGTATCAATCGGTCTACAAACCTTACTAATAAGCGTCTGCTAACCTCATCACAAGCATCTTGAGGCAAACCTAAATAGCCAATTGGAATGATTTCTGATGATGACGTTATGACAGCGATGCGATGACAATGATAGTGGAAATGAAAACAGCAACACGACGTAACCGGTGATGCTGTGGATATAACTGACACTTACCTTTGAGGCACACTCCCGTCAGAGGATTGCATGGTATACCTGGAGGACAGTTGGGGCATTGAGGCGCAGGAATTCGAGGTTCTCCTAGAAAACGAATAGTGAAATTGAAAATTGTATCAATATGTATACACGTGCAAGATGAATCCAACTTTACTCTCCAGACTGTTGCCTGTTCAGTTAGTTGCTGCTTTTTTCATGAAGGTGCTGCATGTGAGATGGAGAGCGTTATGTCACTATGATTAACAATCCGTTATCACAAATCTATATGCTGCTATGTAAATGGAATATGCATCTTCAATAGCACCATATATACATTCAGTGATGATATAAACAAGAAAATGCTGTTAATGACAGCGATGTCCAATTTAGCTGCTGCTGGGCAGCGCCTGGGTGGCTGGAGGTCAATCTGTCAAAAGTAGATGTGAAAAAATACATTTGTTAGAAATATAACCTATTTTTCACGAGTACCTCAAGCTTTGATCAGCGATTGACATGTTTGTTTTTAACATCAGACATGACCACCAACCTAAGTAACGCCATCTACTTCCAGCTTTACAGATTACCCGTATTCCAGCAAATGACTGGGCTGCTCCGTCTTTTTGATGGATTACTATTTTTTTCTAAACAACTAACTGAAATCAGTAGACACTTACCGTACGCGCATTGGCATCCGTCGCAAACGTAGTTGTGGTTTCCACAGTCTGAGTCCTTTTGACATTGGCATACTGTAAACAGATATGAATTTAATATCATGCCTCAGAAAACTCAATGAAACTATACAATATGTACACAAATGTCTGTGAACTTGATTGGTTTGTACGCGATCAAATTATTTATGGTCACTTATGCAACTATAATTCTTGGGGTTATACACAACCAAATCATTTAAGGATAATAAGCAACATGGAAGTGTTATAAGAAAAAATATTATGTTGCATATTTAAAACAAAGACAAAGGCTTAGGATCTTGGTGGCAGCTAAGAAAATATTATTAGATTATACAGTTATCGATTTAATTTGCACAGATATATTTATATTATCACAGTATATTAGTCACCGACACTCATCTTACATATTTCTGAATCCAATCTTACCTTTAACGCACACTGGTTGATGTTCCTGTACCTGACAGTCTTGAGATTGTGAGCATGGATTTGATATGACGCATGGGTTTTGGCACTTTTTATTTATACATGCTTGATTCGATGAGCATTCAGAATGAGACCGACACAATATATCTGTGCCAGAAAAGAGAACGTGATAAATAAAATAGGTTTAAATTGCAAGTCAAAGTTTGCTGAATGATATTAAGACGATTCACGCATTAAAGGAGTATGAGATAATTTCATAAATTCATACAAAAAGCGAAAACATTTACTTAACATTACTTTTTCATTAGACTGTATATTGTATCATGCGTCGCCAATAGCCACTATTCTGACATTCCTTTAATGCATGAATATATAATCAAATTATCATTCTCATATCACTCTTTTTCACCTAAAGGTAATTTTAGCAGAAACAAAGATATTGTGAATTTACGTCGAAGCTGCAGAGGTAATATTAATATATACCTAAATATGAGATTATGGTGAAAAAGATAGATAAATCTATAATAGGATCCTGATAACAAGTGTTAAGCTTCAAGCCAACAGTAAGCGTAGAGGCAAAGTTAAGAATGTAAATGCAAAGCAAATAAAAAAAGCCAATTCCATCACCATATAAACAGACATTGGTTTTTACAATATTTACAGTTTTTAGATAAATATACATCTAAAAAGACTGTACCAGTGTATATAAGCATTGAAAGCTGCACATTCAGACCACTTCTTCAAATAGGTCTGCTTGCCGATTCGCGTTTCTAATAATACTATTTCTGAGAAAAGGTATATCTGCTATATCTATAGCAGCAAAAGTCTCAACTTTTTTTCAGACAAGGAACAGCGATATTAATCTCAGTGGTGTGAATGCATTTACCAGAGTTGTAAGTTACAGCTGGATATTGATATATACAGTGGCTGTAAAATAAATGTTCTATCAATAAGGTATATCAAGTGGAATATAGGATACAAACCTGTAAGCAAAAACAGATTGCAAAATAGGTTTACAGAAATAATGTTTATAGAAAGTCACATGACAGAAAGTATATCTAGGTTGCAGCACTAAAGCAAAAAGCTCACGATATAACCACCCCATAATAAGTACAAATCTGTCCCCGGAGCATTTTATTATTTCTTAAATTGAATGGAAGCTGTTTAATTTCACAAAAATCGTTTAGACTCAAACAGCTTGAAAGCAGAATAAAAGGCTTTTGTTTTTGGTCAGATGGTAACATCGTAGAGCTTTAGAAAAGTCGTAGGCATATATACAGGTAAATGGAGAAGGCACCACATACCTGTATAGCTCATAAGACAAGGTTGTGTCAAGGTTTGAGTATCATAGTTTTGGAGCTGGGATAGAACCTGTGCCAAGTTTGTTCATAGATATTATTGAAGGGACGTATTGTATGTAATTTCGGCTTCTTTAAGCAGCAGCACATTTGGTCTTCAAAAGTTTATTGTGGACAAATTGAATTACCAAGATAATAACCTAGATTGATTCCCCCAGTAACACAAGCAAGAACTAGTCTTGAACCTTGAATAATTTAGAAATATTGCAACTGCCGCCTTCTTCCCTTTTTTGTCTAGCTCATTAGATTTCACCTGTGAATGATTGTTCCAAGGTTGAATCACTTTGCAGTGATTTAAAGTAAACTTCACACTATGGCAGAGATTCGTCCGTCACCAAATAAAGCTCTCTTTTCCAAGCGACTCGAACTGAAAGGAAACTAGTAGCAGGATATCCAGATATCGGCAAGAAGATAAAAGAAGGAAGGTTTAGAGCTTGCTATAGGCCTAGGTGTTTCTATCAGACTGTAAACGACGCAGCATAGTGACACTGAAACCGCAAGCGTTATAACCGGAGTTCGATGGTTGGCCGAAAAGCACATTTATACACTGTCAGACTACAAATAGTTCTGCAAACATCTCCAATTCAAATGTTACAGCAATATTTTAGTTGAATATGAACACAAAAAAAAACAAAACGCTTATGAATGGCATCGAGTACATGAGCATAGGTAGGTATGTGTTGTCCTTTGCTATACTCGGATACCGACTCACTCATCTACCGAACATATGTTCTCAAAATGTGGACCTGGAATAGCGGCTACTTATCGTACAAAGAACTTTCCAATCAACTAATTTCTTCAGATTTTTTTTTATTATAATGATTTTCCCTTGATTTGCAGTTTTGCTATACTCGGATACCGACTCGCACATCTACAGAACAAATATTTCCAATATGTGGACCTGGGATAGCGATTGCTGTTCTTGGTTGTTAACTCTGATGGTATTGATAGAAGCTTATTGTAGAGATACCTTCCCACTCAATTATTTTTTTTAGTTTTTTCTTTATGATAATTCTTTTTCTTTGATTTGCAGTTTTGCTATACTCGGATACCGACTCACTCATCTAACGAACATATGTTCCCAATATGTGGACCTGGAATAGCGGACTGCTTGTTCTTAGTTGTTAATGCCAATAGTATTAATAGAAACTTATCGTACAAAGACCTTTCCAATCATCTAATTTCTTCAGGTTTTTTTATTATAATGATTTTCCCTTGATTTGCAGTTTTGCTATACTCGGATACCGACTCACTCATCTACAGAACAAATGTTTCCAATAGGTGGACCTGGAATAGCGGTTGCTGTTCTTAGTTGTTAACTCTAATAGTATTGATAGAAACTTATTGTACAGGGACCATTACACTCAATTGATTTTTACAGTTGTTTCTTTATGATAAAGACTTTTCCTTGATTCGCAGTTTTGCTATACTCGGATACCGACTCACTCATCTGCAGAACAAATGTTTCAAATATGTGGACCTTGAATAGCGGATAGCTTGTTCTTAGTTGTTAAAGTCAATAGTAATA